TTAAAGGATTTTTTTTAACGCAATTATTTGAAGAGGTTTTTGGTTGTGACAGGTTAAGAAAGGGTTAGGTAGTAACTTTATTGCGAAGGGTAGTTGAGTAGAGACAGGGAAGTTAAACGAAATTTTTTATAAGATTTGGAAAAGAAATAAAAGTGACAGCGAGCGTAGAGACGGTTATTTGTTATATTTTTGTATAATTATAACAGCGTAAATTATTAACAAGAGAAGATTATGGATTCGAAGCCCGAGAGTGGAATTGATGTACCGACGGACGTCAGCGCAGAAATAATACCGGGGTCAGTCGACGTGCCGGAAGGAAAAGGAGAGGTCTCTACAATGGGATTAACGACAATGCAGGAAGGGTTCTTTGCTCAAATGATAACGATGATGAGTGAGATGAGGACAGAGAATAAGCAAATGAATAACCAACTGGGGGACAAATTGAGCGGTCAGATAAAAGAGATAAATAAGAAGATAGAGAACCAGAATAAAACGACAGCGGAATTAAGACAGGACGTGGTGAGAATCATGAACGAGATTAGGCAAGACATGCAGGAGAGCGTCAGAGAGGTAGAAAAGAAGACCGATGGAAATACGAGGGAGATTAGAGAATTAAGGACGGATATGGCCGAGAACATCAGCGTGCTGCACCAACATCACGAAGGGGTGAACAAGCGAGTGATGGAGGTAGAGAACCAGATTAGGATGGAGGTCAGCTACACGCAGCAGGAGTTTGAAAAAGTTGAAAAGGGATTTTGTCATATGCAAGAAGTCTGCAACAAAAATAAAAGTACGAGTGAGGAAGAATTAAAAGAACTACGGAAGGAATTGGAGAATAAGCCGAGACAGGGAGGAATACAGTACGCCAACAATTTTAAAGGGGACCTAGATCGTCTGGAACAGTTCACGGGTAAGGGAAAAGTCCACCCTATGACGTTTCTAAAAATTTTAGAGGCGACGATCCTAAACAACAGGCGAATTTTTGGGAAACTATTCACGAACGTGGACGAAATCAGCTTGATAAGAAGTGTTCTAAAGGAAGACGCGCAGATTTGGTATGACACGGTGGACGAGAAGATTGCCAACTTCGAGTCATTCAAGGAAAATTTTATAAGCCAATACTGGGGCGATTGGGAGCAAAATAAAACACGGGACCAATTAAACATGGGAAAGTATAACCGAAATAGGGGTAGCCGTGTGAAGTACCTGATGGAAAATTATTCACAATTTAAACACCTAGAAAATGGGATACAGGAATCAGTGCTGGTAAGGCGGCTGGCAAAACATTATGAAGAGGAGATTTCCCAGAAGGTCACGAAGGACGACATCACCACGTACGAAGAATTTTTAAGGATGCTCAAACGTTACGACACGGCTGACGAGGAGAAGGACGCCGCCTACGATTATAAGATCAGGGAGCAAGGACGGCAGTATGAAAAACAAGGATACGGAAACCAGTGGAGAGGAAACAGACCATACGGAGCGTATCAAGAAAGGGGTAACCGGATGGAGAATTTGAACCGAAATTACAACAATTATAACAACAATGGAAATTATAACAGGAATGCGAATAATGGGAATTTTAATAGGAATAACAACAATAGAGGGGATTTTAACCGCGAGTTTAATTATGAACAGAAATTCGAAAGGGAATATCAGAAGGACCAGAGGGAGCAGGAGAGAAGACCGGATTATGCAAGCGGAGCCCGAGAAGAGAGACGAGGGGAGGGAAATGCAGAACAGGACAGGAGACGTATTAACCAGATTTTAAAACCGACGCGGGACACCGGAGAGGAAAACAAAATAGAAGTGGTTAGAGCCGAAGTCCATCCACCACCGACAGATTTTTAAGAGGCCGCGCTATTGTCGGATACGTGTACTCGCACCCGAAAGAATTTATTCAAATTGACGACAATAGTGCGGAAGACAAATCGGACAACTTCATTACCAATTTACCAACAATAGGGGTGCTGGTGGAAGGAAAAAGGGCCAAGGCATTGATTGACACGGGGGCGGAAGTTTCTTTAATTTCAGAAGATTTCATTAAAGAAAATTTAGGAAGAGTGGAGAGTTTTACCGTACCCATTAAAGGATTAAAATTAATAACGGCAAATAAGAAAAATTTCGCCAACGTCAAAAGAAAATTTATTTTAGGGATTGAAGTAGGAGGTGAACGGCTGCAGGAAGAATTATTGGTTTTAGCGGGGATGCAGGCGGATTTAATTATCGGGATTGACATTTTAAAAATGTATGATGGAATTGTGGATATAGGAAAAGGAAATGTAAGAATAGGAAAATTAGAAGTGAAAATAGAAGACGAAAAGATCAAGAAAGACCCGGATAACGAAATGGAAATTAGCGTTTGTCAGAAATGGGGGAATGAGGAGTATTGGAAAATGTCAAAATTAAATTGCCCAGAAGAGTGGTCGGAAAAGGTAACAGGAATACTGAAGGAAAATCGTGAACTTATCAATGACGAAGTGAGAATGGCGAGAGGTTACGAACACACGTTGCAAGTGGATGATAGGAAAATGGGGAAAATCCAAACGTATTCGGTGCCTTTCCATTATCGAAATGAAGTAAGAACCGTGTTAACGAAAATGACCGAAGACGGAATAATTGAGAAGGCCACAACTAACATTATCAACCCGCTTGTCATCGTGAAGAAGAAGAACGGCTCGCTTCGTTTATGTTTAGACGCGCGCGAACTTAACCGACGGACAACACCTCAGTTAGAATCGCCCCAGAAAATAGAGTCTTTATTAGGGAAAATTGGGGGGAATAAAATCTTTACGAAATTAGACTTACAAAATTCGTTTTGGCTAATTCCTTTAGAAAGAAATTCTAGAAAATTTACAGGGTTCAGTGTCGATGGTGTCACGTATCAATTTAAGGTAGTTCCATTTGGACTAGCCAGCTCGTGCGCAGCATTAGTTAGAGCAATGCAGTGCATTCTCGATAAATTCGATAAATTTTGCCTACATTATGTTGATGACATAATCATTTTTAGTGACACGTTAGAGGATCATTTTAATCACATTCAAGTAATATTGCGGGAATTGAACAGGAATGGAATGAAATTACACATAGAGAAATGCGAATTTATAAAAGACAGGGATAAATTTTTAGGCTTTGAAATAAATAAAATTGGGATGGAAGTAGAAAATAGCCGGTTGGATGAAATTAATAATTTTCCACGACCAACAAATGTTAGGAAATTACGAGGGTTTCTGGGGATGTTAAATTATTATAGGAAATTTGTACCAAGGTATTCAGAAATTTCATTACCGTTAGTCGGGTTATTACATAAAGGGGTAAAATTTAAATGGGATGAAGGGAAAGAAGAAGCATTTAAAGAAGTTGAGGGTGGCTGATGGCCCAAAGCAGATTAGTGCCAAGTTATTGTTACCGTATGAGGGGCCCTATGTGATTAACAGACGTTTTGGAGATAGTTATGAGTTAAGAGTAAGGGATTCTGAGAAAATAAGGGGTAAATTTCATGTAGACATGCTTTTTCGTTATGATGATGACTCAGAGGAAGGGGTTGAGTAATCGTTAGTAGAAGCTTAGCTTCGTAAATGTTTGGCGTTTGCTAGAATGGTGTTAGATTTTGAGTTTGGGTTTAAAGTTTTAGTTAGGGACGATAGGGATCTCAGGCCGGAGGTGGGGGGCGGCGCCTTTTTGAATCTGGACAGGGCGGCTCGCGTGTTAGGGTCGGTTGGTTAAATTGCCCATAAAAACCCGGTAATTCCAAAGTTTTTTTTTATTTGTAGTCAGGGGAGGATTGTAATTTTGTGTTTTTGTGTTCAATTTAAAGGGGGAAAAATGTTGTGTTATTTTGTTTTAGTTGTAACTTGAAAGAAATTATAGAGCGTCTGGATGTGACAATTTTGTTTAGTTCAATTAATTAACCGGGGGGGTTATTAATAATTTGAGACACAGGATTGCGTAAATTTCATGTTATAGTTTTGGTTCAATTTCTTAGAAGTGTTCTGTTTTTATTTTATTCCTAGAATTTTTTTCGATGTAAATTTCTTTTTAAATTTTATTTGCCGTTAACGAGGTATAGCGCGAAGTAGAGATAAGGTTCTTCGCAGAATTGCCGGGCGTACGTGCCGTTTAGCAAGAAGTTGAAAAATCGACGCTTCGCGTGATTGGCGGACGGGATGTTGAAGAAAGGAGAAGGGCTTTTGGCTTAAATAGAAAATTTTTGAAGAGAGCGGGGCTTTTTAGTCGTTACAAAGCCAACCGGCGCTTCTTCGGTTACGTGATTTTTTGAATTTTGTGGAAGTTTCTTGCGTAGTGGATCCAGGTTTAGTTAGAATTTTTGTCTGCCGTTTAAGAAGAATTTTTGAAAAGTTTAAGAAGTTTGTCGCTGTCCTGTTTTTTTTTATTTTGCGGAAACACGGAAGTTTTGAAAATAATTGTGGGTACCCGAAGAGAGAAGACGTCGGTGTTTGAGTGTTTGGTTGTGCGTTGTTGTGTGTACGGATACCTCTTTGTATCAGAGTACGTTACTCGGACTAATTTTAAAGTAAGTAGTAGTTAGTGGTTTGTTTTGTCATGTTTTTGTTTGTAATGTTTGAGTAATTTGTTTTTTTTTGTGTGTGTCATTTATCTGTTTAAAATTTGTAACAATTTGTAAAACAGAAATTTACGCAATTTTTTGTCTGAAATTAAACCAGTCATTGCAATCCAGGTTTTGTTTATTAGAGTCAAAGAGAGGTAATTGTCGGCGTCTCTTACTTTGTTTCAAGTTTATTAAATCTGGGGGTAAAGTTTCATATTGGAATTTAAGGGAGGTATTAGCCACCGACCTGGCGAGGTTGCTACCCCTTGTCCGGACGAAGAAAAGGGGTGGTCGGACTCATTTTACGGGCCCTGAGATTTGTGTTTTTAAGAGTTTGTGTGGGATTGAGCTAGTAAGGGTAAGTTGTGTGGGTATCTTTCAGGCTTAGGAAGTTTACACAACAAATATATGAAATTTTGTTGTATAGTGTTCCTTAATAACCCGTCATAATTCAATATCATTGACATACGCGATTTACTGTCACTCAACAATTGATGCGACTGTTCAGATAGGACTAAACGTCATGGAAACGCATAGTATAAATCGTGAAATCGGTTTTCCATACGATTTTTCATTAAAAAAAGTCCGGTAATTTGATAACTATGCAAAAAAATGAAGTATCTTACCTTTAAATACTTTTCCAAAGCATCCTTCGCCTAATTCGTTTAAAAATTTGAGCGATTCCCTTTGTATTATTGGCACTGAACTACTGGAACAAGCAGAATACTGTGGATTGGGAGCATATCTTTCTGGTACAAGAAAGCTTCGTTTTAGCACGATTGGAGATGACACTGGCTAAAAAGCAATATATAGTTATGACTCGATACTGTCTGTCCAATCTCATTCACGGAATTATCAATGTTAAGTAATTCGCAACGGTTTAAATTTTTCGAAAGCCAAGGTTTGATAATTAATATGAGTGCATCAAAAATTCGTGTTACCTCTCTTGCAGCAATATGTGGTGCAATTTATTTCGCAACACAAGTGACAATAAAATTACAAACAACGTTTTAATACCGCGTTCCGTTAGTGTAACTGAAATTGTCTTGGCGAAGATCACGGTTCAGTTTTTATTGCTGATCGGTTGTTGATTAGAATAGAATTCTGCTGTTCCATAATAATATTATGACGTTAACAATCACCTGGGCGGGGAATCTTTTCCGATGGCATGCCTCATAACGGCGCCGATATGTTACAGTATTCAGTAACAAACAGCGCCATTATTAACACCCGCAGTGATTTCTAAAAAGCATAAAAACTAAATATAATAAAACCCTGTATTCTTTGGCGTTAAATTGGAAAAAAAAACATTAGGGAAATTTTTTTCGAAAAAAATGAATGTGTCGATTTTTACTAGTTGCAATTTTAACAATAACGTAATTAGATATTCACCAGGTTTTTAGTAGGAAGAGTGAAACTTTATTTAAAAATAATTAAAATAATTAAACGTCCAAAAAATGTGCAACCTATGTGAATACGTTTGGTTCCGTGGAAATTTAGATTTTACGGTAACATGAAAGACTCGCCCAAGTCTAAGACAGTTTCGAGCGGATATCCACGGATACGTAGGGTGAGGCATCGGAAATGAAACACCTCGAAAAACGTTCGAATACTTCAATTATAAATTTAATGACATTGCTTACAATAAAACTCACTCGCTGTTCTTTTCAGCTTTTGGTGCATGGGTGGAACTCTTCAAATTTTAGATTGTGTATAATAGAGCGGGTACCACGTCGTTGGAAAGGTGTTCATCTCAGAATATGGAAAGTTCAGTTTTTTTTATGTTATTGTTCGGTTTCCTTAGAAATACAAATTCGCTCTTTCTAGATACAATTGGGAAGATGTGGGCATGTGCCAATAATTATGTAGAACAGAACCGGAGCCTTTCCAGCGATGTGTCAATTTGCCCATTATGAAAATGTTAATGTTAGGGGTTGTGAACGTCTCCCTCTATCCAAAATGTTCGAAAATTTGCCGGATTTTGATGTGAGGGAATGTGGGTCATTAAAATGAACCCCAAATACGTACCGTGCATGGATTTTTGTTATAGCATAAGCATCCTTGTTTCCTTCGCCTCCATGAGATAACAGTAAAAATAATGGCGATCATAACTATCACAATGACTCCGACCAAAACTGAAATTACTATTGTACTCGGAAACGTTCCAGGTGCGTTGGCTAACGGTTCTTTTGAGTGCGCCTGAAAAGTATTCGATTTTAGTGATCTAAATTAATTTATAAATTTATTGAAACACTTCGCCCCGCTCTCTTTTTGGTTAAATGCCTAGCATTGAATATCACTAGTAAGTAGTACAACATTATTATCGGTGATAGCACGACTTAAAACCTTTCTGAAACTTACCGAGGTGCTGGTGATGCGATTATTAACGCGACTAGTAGCGTTTTTACTTTTAGATATTGTAGAATTTGCATCTGATGATAATCGTATATTCTTGATTGGGTGGGGTGTGGGTGGAACTGAAAGAAAGGATATAAGAATTTTGAATTAAAGTGGTTTTTGGTTAATTCTTCCATTGAAATTGAAGGAAAGTGTGTAAATACCTACTAAAAATTGAAAAAATATGTATAGAACACGCAATTGTAGCTAGAGGATTTCAATGTTTGGATGTAATGGAATGTAACAAAAAAACAATAGCTACCTGTAATACGAGTGCATCTCCAGTCTTTCGTAGGTGGTGACTTGTCGTGCGGACAAATGCAAGAATATGTGTTGTTGGAATGAGACAAACAAGCCGCTTCTTTACCGCAAATACCCTTTTGACATTGACCGGGCTTCGGTCTTCTATGTCCACTTTCTGCAAAAAAAAACAATAAAAAAACAATATTTCAAGCACGCCCATGTGGACTGTTTTGATATGTACTTAAAACAGAAGGCCTTCGTTATGAGATTGCCGCCATTGATGACGTGACAAATCGTCTAAACAATCGACTCTTTCAACACATCTTTAAAGAAACAGCCGCTACTAATTTATATCGAAGTCTTTTTTGCCTTAATACATATACGGTTCGGTTAAAAACTTAATTGGTTTCTTTACCACCATAAAAACTGAAGATACTAAGTGATTTAGAGAGACGTTCACAGAAATAAAATTATTTGATGTAACCAATGAATGAGGAATCTGATTAATTACTGATTAACGTGTCCGAATTTCCATATGACCACTTCTAATTTTTTAATTTCATATTAGTACCTATAATACTTCCTCGATATGACTGCGTTCAACTTTTGATACAAGAAGGTCGTGCACTTACTTCTTAATGATAGTGGCGAGACATATTAACAACAATATACGTTGGTACCAGAGGTTGTGTGCGCCACAAGATATAGAGAACCCAATTCTACAACAAATAAAGTAGGTATAACATTGTTGTTGAGGCCCCTCCTTTGGATTTAGTACAACACTACAAAAAAAATGTTACAATTATTTATGGGGTTGGAGAGAAAGAGGACCTTGTTTTTCTCGACGTTCTTATCTTACTCTTTGGTTTTTAATTTGTCAGTACACGTATCATTTTTGACATCGTTGACATTATTTATATACATGTAATTTGGCAAATTTAATGCTTATTGGCAATTTAGCGTGGTAGGCGTAAGTGTTTAAAAATAAGGTTGCTGGTCGCCGAATAAAACCGAAATTGTACTTAAAGTCTAATCATGCCAGCGTGTAGGCAGAAAGCATCGTTTGGTTTCAAAAATCTCTTATACCGGGTGAATATTTTCCAACCGAACATATAGGGAATTAACATGGGAAAACAGTTTTTCGCAGCTTGTTGCTCCCCAAATTAACTTAGAGGGTTCATAATGGCACCACTGGAAAGAAGATTTTTTTCTCATCTAACTAAAAGCGAATTAGTTAAGTTTTATTTGTATTTTCTCATTATTGTATCAAAAATTCGCAAAATAAAATGAACTCAGAAAATCATGTAGCCATGACAAAATTATTGACAGTTATCGTACCTTGTTTTCATGACTACCGTGATTTTTTAAACCAAGTACACATTTTGACTACCTAATTTCGCAAAATAATATTTAAACGTGCAACTAGACGTTAATAATTTGCATATCATAAAACGCGGAAAAAAATCTTCTTTCCAATGGTGGCATTATGAACTCTCTAAGTTAATTTGGGGAGCAACAATCTGCGAAAAACGGTTTTCCCATGTTAATTCCCTATACCCGGTATAAAGGTTAATGACTATGTTGGTAATATAGTTTCGGTCTACGTACGGGTTTCTTGCACTTCGACTTCCAGAACAAGTGCAAAAACTTTCGTGTAACATTTAGCAATGGGCTCAAACGCCGTTAATGTTAGTTATCAGCCACGTACAGCACGTCTGCCGCGCCTATATTCATATTGTAAAACGATTATTAATGAAGATTATTACAAAGTGTGGAGGTGCTCAATTTCATTGTTTGACACTTTTACAGTTTTACGAGTCAAAGCGAAAGCACCATCGGTTACCTAAAGGTGAAGCAACTGTTCATATCTTCTGTTTATTGTAGTATGTATTTTTTTCTAACGGTATGACGCAAATAGATCCTATTGATCTTGTCGTAAGTCAATATAATAATTTATTTTTAGCTCATTTTTTTGAAAAGGAAAATCAACGCTATTGTACGCACTTTGTTCGTCTGTCTGTCCGTCTGTACTACTACTAGCACAGATGTAAATATACTCATTTCCATCTGAGCTACTAGTTCTCCAGTTGAAACTTTTTCGTTCTTATATACGGTGTAGCACAGCTCCGAGGCCAGAACGACAATAGTACATTATATATCAAGGTAGAGAAGTCCACTATTATTGCCTGAGCACCAAGATTACATCTCGAGGCGCTTGCGCCGAGGGGTGTAAGGTGCGAAGTAATAGACTTCTCTACCGTGGTATATATACTATTTTTTTCACTACTAGCACTTGAAATCCTCTAAATTAACATATTATATTGATAAGAGAGTTAACGGTTGGACAGAATTTTTTGTTTCTTAATTTAACATGTCAATCAAGTACGTGGAAGTACAAGTCAAACAGGCCGTATTTTGTTCTATCATTGAGATTATTCAAAGAGTAATTTCGTTCGAATTTTTTCAAAATGTGATAATTTTAGGTATGTAATTTCTCTGGAAATTGCGAATGGTGGCAATTATTCGTTTTAGAGAACTTGTCTAAACGTTCATTGAGCGAAATTTCAGGTTGTGTTTTCTAAAAGTGACAGCGTGACAGTTCTCAATATTGACTACTAGTTAATAATAAAAAATTATTAACCACTTTGAACAAATGCCGAGAAAGCCTACTTTACAAGTGGAAAAAAGGTTAATAATCATGTCATCAGACGCTAGTAGTGAAAAAAATATTTTTCGGATTAGTAACTTCCTTCTCGAGTTTACTGATTCTGTGCGGGGAAAACGCGCTTGCATCGGTTGCAAGTGACCACGTCTGTACAAGGTTGTACCTCGTATAAGGGATTGTTAGCGATGTACTTTTCCTTTTTGTAATCTAGTTCGTTACGAGGGTCGAGGAAGATGCAAGCGTAAAACAAACAAATAATTTAAAACGAAGATTTCATATTTACTACAAAAAATTGAAATTATATGCCAATTTTTCTTTTCTTGGGAACCTCTATATAGCTTTAACATTATTTATACCGTCTTTTATGGGAGGTGCACAGATTTTCGTGACTGAAACGCGACTCCTTAAATAAATAGTGTAAGAGAATACCTACTGCCAGCACTTAAGAACAAGCACTTCCTACCTAGCATATATACACTTAAAAATATTTGAAATCACATACAAGCAGGTTAAGTGTTTATGTGTTATTTTAGGGGTAGCATTGATGGGAGACACCTTGCTTGCAGCGCCAAAGTCGTTTTTGATTGTTTTTACTGTAAACACTATCGAATTGAATAAGGAAATCGTGCGCTTCCGTGTATCGTGCCGGCGCTTTATTTTTAACATCCCTCGAAGTGAGTAATAATAACAATTTTAACCTATTATTTTGATTCGTTTGTAATCTAATTTCAATCGCACACTTCCGTATTCAAGGAAAACAACTATTCCTGTTTAGAAAATTTTCTCTAACGCGTCTCGTCTAAAATTAAGTACTGTCTTGTGAAATGGAGGTTCCCTATCAAAAAAGATTATTAGAAATTCGTCTAAAATCATCCCTTTTAAATAAGCTTTAATCTAAAACTCTGAAACCTTTGGGTGAAGGGTTTACTAAAATTAAATTCATGTAACCGACAATACAAGACTTGCAATTTCAAAACGGCTCGGTATTTTGAGATCCTTTTAAATAAAATTTGAATCCCATATAAAAAAGGACAATATAAGGACGTCTATCATGGGGTCCTCCGAAACCATAGAATATACGACGATGGTCAAATTAGAGAAAAGATGCGCAATTAAAGACTTATTATCATGCTTTAAAGAAAACCGGAAAATTCCGATTACTTCCGAAGATATATGAGAAAAACCGAAATTTGCCGATTTCGTTTTTGTTTATTTTTTTATTTTGAACAAATACAAAAAAATAAAAAACCACTTTCTCATTGCCACTTTTTGAGCTATACAAGACAGCGTTAACAGATGTTCTATATAACTTTTCGTTTCGGAGAATTCATCAACATTATTTTTTTACCTTCCCCGTAAAAAATACATACTGGATTAAATAGCATTTTTTTATTACGGATACAACGATGTACCGCACACAAAAAAAGAAAAGTTGGAAACTGTTGGTTTGGAGGATGGTGCACCCGCGCACATCGCCCTAATTTTGCGAGATATCGGACATATTTTACATTTTCCCGGAAATTGCCCGACAGGTAATCGCACGCACGATTATGCCGTTGTGCACGGGTGCACCATCCTGTTAAAACCAACAGTCTACCTACCCATACTACCTTTTTATAATGAATGCAGTATAGGACTTCAGACGCAAGTTTTTTCGTTCTGAACTGGCACTTGTCAAAATATATGAGGAACTATTACCAGAGCGTAGAGTATCTACAGAACTTTAAATTTAGTAAATGCGCCGTATAAGTAAGATAGGGCTAAACGAAGGTATTGTATGTAAGTACATTAATACCCCATCATAACGAACACACCCTACAGTTTGAATGCATGCCAATTGATTTACGCAGATGACTGATGAAAAGAAACCCGGCACAGATGAGATGACAATCACGGTACAAGTCTACAAGACCTTCACGAGGAAGAAGTAGGCCATGAATTCTGCGAATGCGCTTTTTTTTCAAAAGAATGTTTCGTTTTTGCTTGGGTTAATAAATTAAAGTCTTCGATGCGAGTACATGCAATAAATATAGTAGGAAGCATTGGTTTGTAAATTTATATAAATCGCGTGATGGGTCGGCTCGTGTTTTGGATTTTTATTTTTTGGTTAGTGCGCGGCCGTAAATACAATTTCTACTCAAGTGTGACAAACGATAACACATATACCTGTCAGTGGTAACTGGTTTAATGAATAACCGACCTGCAGGGTATATTATGCATAAATTTCACGTATTTAACGAAAAATGTATATAATTTCCCTTTATAGCTGTTTAGCATCTAGTTTTGCGTAAGATTAATGTTGATCACATATGCCCGTCAAATTGTGCCTTAACCTATATCCGAGCCTATATCCTTCTCATCCATTGTTTCGGAGGGTAATTTTCTGTGTTATACGCTATCGCCCCAATTAAAATAGTTAATAGCCCATCCAAATTTCTTCATACACCACCACCATAATATACTCTTTCATCGATATTCTTCAGACCATACTGCCTTTATTGATAACGGCA